GGTTCATTAAATGCTAACTCGGCTTTCAGAGCGGCGCTTAATAAACAAAATTTGGGGTTTTGGTTTTTTTTTTTCTTTTTGAAACCAACCTGGTGTCTTGTCACCAAAAACCTCCTTAAGGCTCCTGTTCAACCAGAGAGGCTGGTTCCCATCTGCACGAGGGTGTGGAGCACACGGGCGAGCTTGGCTTAGGGCTTGGTTTATGAACGCGAACTTCAAAAGCGACCGGGCGAGCATGAAGTCTTAGTCGGATAATGAAGAATATTTCAGGGATCCTCAATGTTTTGGCTTTTATTTTTTGTTTTAATGACGAGAAATACGCGATTCAAATCTATTTTATCTTGAGGTTTCAGTTTAATGGAAATCCGTGTCTTGTATATGTTGCGTTTAACCGTACGACTGACTGTTAAGGAAGATCAGCATTATGTCTCTCTCTGTATACACTGTGGTGCACTTAACTTGTGGATTTTTTTATACTAAAAAAAAAGTAGAAATAAAGACTATTTTGAAAATTTGAATAAAGCAGCAAATTTGTATTAGGCCTCAGAGAAAACCCCTTGGCTCCTTGCCCGCCGCGAGCTTGGGGTTTGCTTCATTTCTTTGCTCCTTCTTCCATTTTGGCGGGGCGACCGCGTGAGGAACCCTCATCATCGCCCTGCAATTAACCGGGCTAATTACCCTCTTCTTGAGCGGCAACACCGGGAGGATCCAGAACAGGAGCGACTCGAGGCCTGGGTTGTCTTAGGAAGCACCGGAGCAAGGAGACGCGCTGGGTCGGAGGCGACGCTGGAAGCGGCGTCGGGCACCTCGTTTCCCTTTGGGAACAGCCTCAATAAATTAAACGGAGGGGACAAATAAAAGCTTCTAGACGCCGGATCCGGCGGCTAGATGAAATATTCCTCCTTCTCCCTGCCCGCGGCGTCCTCCATGGGCACGGCGACGTCGGCCGTGGGCTGCTCGTAGGTGAGGTAGCTGCCCTGGTTCTTGTAGAGGTAGACGGCGATGACGGCGAGCGCCGCGAGCAGCGTGAGGAACACGAGCGCGATGACGACTGCGAGGGCAGAGCGCGGGGCTGAGCGCGGCCCCGCTCGGCCCCGCGG